CCCCGCCACCCCTTTTACGATTGAAGCCATCGCGAAAATTTATACCCTGATATTTTTCTTTTTGACCGAGTTTATGGACTGGTATGTGCGGAGGTCTACCTGCCAATTGTTGAAGAGCCACAACCAAGATGCCTACTCGGAGTTCTACCATTTGGTCAACTGTATCCAGCGCCAGGCGAAAGCCCTCTCCGAATCACCTGACGATATGGACGTGGACGAGGATTTGGAAGCGGCCTATAGCCCTCGGGCTCTCTGGGAAGACTCGCAGATGAGTCAAGTCGGTCGTCAAGGGACGGAGCGCCGTATCGCTGCACAGAATACAATTACCCGCCGGTTAATCTGGGAGATCCAGCAAGATGCCGAAGAACGAGCCCGGATCAAGCAACAAAGGGGCCAGTTGTTAGCACAGATGTTGAGAAATGTGAGCAAGCAACTGCACACAGTGAGCGAGCAGAATAGTGGGATCGTCTGCTTGACCACAGCTGCCCCAGATCTTGGTAGGTGTACATCAGACTGTATCACGTTGGGGGAGCCACACACTAATGACAAATATCTTTCTAGTAACCTCTGGCTTCGAATGGTCTCGAGGTTCTAAGCGACGCCTTGCTCGACTCGAACTTCAAAGTGCCTCCAAGGAGCTTCAAAAGTTCTTCGATAGTGACGATCAAATCGCCGACTTCGATTCTGACGTGGAAGTTATCGCAGAGGGTAGCGTAGTGACCTCGCTACAGAAATGGGCTACGAGTCCCAGGTCCCAGGCCCTGGCAGTGGGCGGATCTCAATCAACAACCTATCCCAGTCCCGTGGCATTAATATCAGCCTGCTACGCATCTTTTGCCCGTCTTGCATCTCTTCCGGTTGTCGCCCACTTCTGCACCCTCCCTCAAGATGAAGCCGAGGGGATGACCTCACACCAACAGGGACTCATATCCCTCACTTATAGCTTGATCCGACAATTGATAGATACCCTTCCGACGGTGGTGGACAGCGACGCATTGTTGGATCTCAGCGCCGAACGGTTTCGATTGCTGGATGGAACTCTTTCCAGCTGGAAAGCAGCTTTATCCTTAGTCGATACCCTTCTCCACTTCCTTCCACCCTTGCTGGTCCTCGTCATCGACGGCATCGACCGAATCGATGATCCATCCACAGACACTGCGGTGCGCGAACTGATCCGGGTCCTACTCACTCACACTCGCCATCAACCCCAGTCTCTCGATAGCGATAGCCCGGCGCAGCCATTCCTATTTAAAGTTCTATTTACCGTGACAGGACGTCCGAGCGCGCTAGTGGAGACGATGTCCGAGAATCAACTCGTCCTGAGCGAACCGACTCAAGTGGATGAGCCCACCACGTCTGATGCTGTCCTCACCTCGGACCTTGGCGCAGTCATGATGAATGCGTGATGTGTCTACCGGTGGAGTGAGACTATGGGGTGGCACTGTTTCCTCCTGACGTGACGAATTTCCTTTTCTCTTTGGGTCTTCTACGCAAGGCTGTTTTAAAAAGACCTCTGGTTCCTAACATAGATCTGCACCTCTGGACAAGCACGGTTCTGGGGTTTCATTACGATGCATGAGGCACGAATCACACGGCGATCACTTTGAGCACATTTTACACCATCTCTCACTATATGCATGAAGGGACGGTCTTCGTTAATATTATCAGCTTTTCTACCTTTGAAGTCTGTACAGACTTTATCCTTTTTGTCGGGCGTCTGGGAATGGATCTGGGATTTGATTTGATGTCATTTGTCTCTGTTTTACTTTGGTTTTTGCTTTGCTTTACTTTGCTTGGTTTGATTTGATTTGATTTGATTTGATTCCATTACATTTTTGCCTTGGGTTGTTCCTATTCCTCTCCTCTACTGTGCACCTTGCTTTCCAGTGACTCGTGGTAGACTACTGTATTTTACTGCTTGATCGCTGAGATACCCAACAATTAGATCTAATTCCTGCGCATCTACATCTGTTACCACCTACCACCGGTCAGTGTAATTTTCGATTCTTGACCAACCGGAATTTAATACCCGATGTATAACCAAAATGCGGGTCTGCTGGTTCAGTGGAGTGAAAATGGAAAATGCGGGGGCTGCAATGGAGATTGAATTCCGCCCGCAATTTGCTACTTTAAAAGACCAGCCCGGCGAAAGGTCCGATTGTCTACAGGGCTGATCATACCCAAATAACCTTTCACACATAGACACGAGACACCGACCAGCCATGAATGGCCACACATCAATCCCCTCACGGCTATACCAGCCCGAATCAGTAAACCTCGACGAGTTCAAGGCGATCTGCACCCGCGCAGTCGACAAAACCACCTACCCCCTCGCGGAAACCGTCGAGCAAAACGTACCCATCTACGACCTCGCCGCACTAGAGGCCGACCAACAACAACACCCCATAACAGCAACCTCCATCTCCAACCTGCAAGATGAATGGCACCACATCTTACACACTGGCCCGGGCATCTTCGTACTGCGGGGCATGTACACTCCAACCCGATACGCATCAATCCTATCATCCACAAACACCGCCTTCAACAGCATAATTGCCAAAGAGCGCGAATCCAACACAACCCAGGGCGACCACTTCGCAGCAGGCGGCACAAACGATCGAATCTGGAACGCATTTTCAAAACACGCGCTCGAAGATCCGGCCTCGTTCGTCGAGTACTACTCAAACCCATGGCTGGCGGCTGTCTGCAGCGCATGGCTCGGCCCGGGCTATCGTGTCACGGCACAGGTTAATGCTGTTCACCCCGGTGGTGCGGCGCAGGAGAGTCACCGCGATTATCACCTCGGGTTTCAGGAAACGGATACTTGCCTCTCGTTCCCTGTTCCGACGCAATTGACTTCGCAATTCCTTACGCTGCAGGGTGCCGTTGCGCATAGTGAGATGCCGGTTGAGTCTGGTCCTACGCGCTTCTTACCTTTTAGTCAGACTTATGCGCCGGGCTATTTGGCTTGGCGAAGACCTGAATTTCGTGCCTTTTTTCAGGAAAAGTACGTTGCTTTGCCGCTTTCTTTGGGTGATGGGGTTTTCTTTAATCCTGCGCTGTTCCACGCGGCGGGCGCGAATGTTATGGATGGAAGTCCTGGGGGTGGGGGCTTCCGACGCGTCGCGAATTTGTTGCAGGTTAGTAGTGCTTTTGGGAAGGCTATGGAGATGGTTGATGCTGTTCCGTTGATTGAGGCTTGCTGGGAGGTTTTGGTGAAGAGGTATCAGGGTGCTGGGAAGACCTTTGCGGATGGGGATTTGGATCCTGGGAAATTTTCGCAGGGGGCCAGGGAGGTTAGGGCTTTTATTCAGGCTGTTGCGGAGGGGTATCCCTTTCCGACGAATTTGGATCGTAGGCCGCCTGCTCCGAGTGGAATGGCGCCGGAGAGTGAGCAGGATATTGTTATGCGGGCGTTGGTGGAGGGTTGGGGTCGTGAGAAGGTTGTTGGTACGTTGCGGCAGATGCGTTTGGATTCGCAGCCTTGAGGTATAGGTTGGGAGGAATATCCAGGGCTTGAAGAGATTTAATTCCATGCCAGTGGAATTCCACTCGGAGTGGTTCAGTCTGATGTAAATAGCATAGTACTTCAAGTTGGGTAGCATACATACATGGCGCCTTCAAATCAACACTGACTTCGTACAGTTTTTCAAGCTACTACTACTAGCAGCAGGTTTGCTTCGGTAGTTAAGTATCGATCGATCGATCTCATGCTCAGTAATTGAATTCTAAATACCTGTAGCCTCCAAGTCCCTTTTTTTAACAAAAAGGTCAACAAGATTGGCCAGTATGGGTAACATCATGTCTTATAGATGGAAATAAAGTAGGGTTGAAATAAAAACGGGTCCTGGACGGGTAATAATACGTTCTAAAATTACAGACGGTGAGAGCTACCCTTAATTCTGGCAAAAAAAAGGAAAACTCAAGTAATTTCGCCGGACCTTTGATGGCAGAATGTAATTTATCGGAAATGCTTGTGAAATTACAGTATATAACCATTATTACAATACAACATACACACTCTCCCTCCTTCTCTACTCGTATCTCTCTATACCCCCGCTCACATCTTACCTCTTCTCGCAATTAACTCCAGGTATCTTGATACAACTCCTCTGGCTATTTATTGTAGCCTTGGAGCCCGGTTCAATTGTATACACATGGGCTCAAGTAAAAACAAGACAACGCATAAAGCCTCCCTTGTATGGCCTCGATCAGAGTGATTGCAAGATGGTAAGTAGATATCATGAATCTCCTTGCAAAAGCTGTTTTTTTCTCGTTATTGACAGTTAGTTTATCTACTCGTACAAACAAAATCACCATCGGTATTGACCTTGCATTGAAAGGAGCTTGCAGTAACATGCCAAAAGTTCCACCACCCACCCGAGTTCCACTGGATTGAGTATCATGCAAGTAATACCGAATGTAAAACGCCGTTGAGCAAGAAAAGCTAAAGCTAGAGCTAACAGTTGTCCTGAATTCCCGAGAAAGAATCCCCGCATTCATTTTTGTTCGAGCATGGGATCGATTGCCAGTGATTTTCACGGCCGGTCTGAATTTTCGAACCTGTATTTTTTTTCTTTCCTTTTTCTCAATTTGATTCAGTGCTGGCTTCCTTTCGAAGAGTAAGTATGATTACAGTCGCTTGCGGCTTCTTTACGAAGGATTGGAGAAATCCAGGATGACTCGGATTTATTTGCGTGCTTCGACCTGGAAATTGGGTTATATTAGGTTCGCGTTTCTTTTGAATATGGTAGCCTTGTACGGAATAAGTGTTGAAGATTTCCTAATAATATCTGCTCCCACATCACGGCAGAGTCAGGTCTAGAGCCGCCATAGACCAAAGCTAGTCCACTGATATGATTGATAGACCCACTGATACTTCCCGTGACGGGCTGAAGGAAGGAATGTAGTATCCTATTTGATGTTTTATGTTTTATCTTATTAGGAATTTCCATCCACGGGAGATTGGGACACGTGACTCATGGCTACGCCTAGAATCATCACCACACCAGAATCACCAGAATCACAAGCATGAGCATGAGCGGGCTGGACGGAGCTGAGGGGAGGCCGATCGGGAGAATAACGGACAAGGGTTTGAACCAATCAATTGGGTCGATCTAACGGAAATACCAATTACTTACATATGTACTCGTAGGGTACTGCACAGCACACAGTGGTGTAAGGCTGGGTCGAACTGCTTGGACCCCTGGCATTGGAACGACCGGGAAGATCGTGGCTTACAATTGGTGCATCACTTTGAACGCCCGGTGGGGTTGGTGGACCTGCATCCATGGTGTCAGAGAAGCTGCACCACCGGAATCACTAGGGGGTGGCGAGAAATGATCTTGAAAGGACGGGAGTTGGAGCCATTGGTGAATCTGGCTATGACCTGGTCAGGGGTATGAACTGTAAGAGAGAGGGGAAAGGGGAAGAGAGTGTGTATACAGAGTAGTATCTATGGTAGCATTGCAGAACAGAAATAGCAACGCCAATTGTGTATTGCTGCTATGTACTAAATCATGAACACATTGGAATGCGGCTGTCAGTGGGCCACGGTGAGGAATGGCTGTCTCACATTTTTGCGCCTTTGCCCCCCAACAATGGTGAAACACGCCCGCGGTCCTGCTGTTTACCATCCTTTCTCTCTTTTTCGTTCCATCCAATTCGATTTGAAAGGAAAGAAAAATACCAATTCTCCGCGCGCAAAGACATTGTCACTGTCAGTCCCCCGTTCTTTCTCGACGATCACTCTCCTCTCCACACTCGACACTTGCTTCAACTTGGTCAAAGTGTGGAAGATCGACTCCCGAACAACCACCATCACTGGTCCGGGGTTCAAAGCCAAGCGAAACTCGCAGCAAACGGCGCTCGGAAGTGTCTCGCCTACTGCTTGTACATACTTGTACGGAGTACTTGGAGCCTGACCGCGCGTGTGCGTGAGGGGGCCACACGCAAAGGACCCAGCGAACAAGTCATCGGCCATACGCGACTCGTTGTAATTTTTTTTCACCTACTCCACCTTAGCACACCCGAATCGGACCAACCAGCTTTAGCATCGATCTACAAAGAACCATAAAAGGGTTTGGCCCCCCCCTCTTCGGGACTCTCCGAGATGAGGAACAAGCTAGGCATCGCGGCAAATCGCCTGTCGACACACCGGTTTGAACAGATCCCCGACCACCTCCCACACGACGGGATGACGAACCCCAACGACGCGACCATTGATATCCCCCTCACGGACACTCCGTCCAGAGGCCAAAACGGCATTCACAAATGGAAGTCCAATGCCGAGGCTGTTGAGCAGCCCGGTGATAGTGAGAAGGGTGGTTTGCCATATGGCAGTGGCCCTGGTCGTCGCCGTCGCGTCGATACGGATATCAATGATGCCTCTCATAAGCCTGCCGACTCCCCGGAGGATGGCAAAGTCAATCGTTTAGGCCGCATCTACCAGGCCATTTACAATTTCTCGATCATCACTCGTTATATGATCTATGTTTTCCCTATCGGTGTTCTCATTGCGATTCCCATTATTGTCGGAGCCACTGTTGCGCAGGACGCTTACATTGGCGGCGTTCATATCTACTGGTTCTTTACTTGGATTGAGGTTGTCTGGGTCAGCTTGTGGGGTTGCAAGATCTTTGCCAAGTTCATTCCTTATGTCTTCCAGACTCTGTGTGGTTTTGTTAGCTCGGGTACGCGCAAGTATGCTCTCATCCTGCGTGCTCTGGAAACCCCAATTACTATTGTGCTTTGGTGTGTGATCTCGCTCGTCACGTTTCTACCGGTATGTATTGACTCCTTAAACTTCATGGGTGGCCTAAAGACAGTAACTAACCTTATTGCCACCTCAGATTATGCGATATGGTGCAGACAATAACAGCGATGTCTCATCCTGGGAGAAGAGTGTCAAGAACATCCTGTTCGCTCTACTCGTTTGCAGTCTGATCTTCCTCGCTGAGAAGGCCCTTGTTCAACTCATTTCGATCAGTTACCACCGCAAGCAATTCGATGCCAAGATCAAGCAATCCAAGCACAACCTTTACCTGGTCGGTCTCTTGTTCGAAGCCTCCCGCAACATGTTCCCGGTCTACTGCCCCGAGTTCCGCGACGAGGATGATTTGATCTTTGACTCGCTGCTTGCCCAAGACTCCAAGGATCAAAAGAAGCGGAGTTCGGTGATGCCGTTGCGTATGATTCGCGAGGTCGGTCGTCAAGTCGGTCACAACGTTGGCCGTGTTGGTGATAAGGTTACTACCGCCTTTGGAAATGTCGCCTCTGAACTTACTGGCAAAAAGGTGTTCAACCCAACTGCCACTCACTCCATTGTTGTTCAGGCTGTTGAGCGTAAGCGTTGTGCTGCGGCGCTGGCTCGTCGCATCTGGATGTCTTTCGTCGTCGAGGGCCGTGATGCTTTGTACATTGATGATCTCATTGAGGTTCTAGGAAGTGACCACGAGGCTGAAGCCGAGGAGTGCTTCAACGCTCTGGATAAGGATGGAAATGGAGACATCAGCTTGGACGAAATGATCCTGACCATCACCGAGTTCGGCCGTAACCGCAAATCTCTAAACAACAGCATGCACGATGTCGACCAGGCCATTCGTGTCCTTGACAACTTGCTCCTCACTGTTGCTTCCGTTGTTGGTATTCTGGTCTTCATCTCTTTCGTTACCACTGGTTTCGGGACAGTTATCGCCGCTGGTGCTACCTCGCTGCTCTCCCTGAGTTTCGTTTTCGCGACCACCGCACAGGAGGTCCTGGGATCCTGCATTTTCTTGTTTGTCAAGCATCCTTTCGACATTGGTGATCGTATTGAAGTTAGCGACAAGCCCTTCGTTGTTGAGCGCATCTCGCTTCTTTTCAGTGTCCTCCGCAGTGTGACCGACCACCGTATCACCCAGGTGCCCAACAACATTCTTAACAGTCTGTGGGTGGACAACTTCACTCGTGCCAATGCCATGCATGAACAACTCACTGTGCCTGTTGCATTCGATACTTCCTTTGCCGATGTCCAGTTCCTTCGCGAGGAGATGGAAACCTTCGTCCGTGACAAGGACAACTGCCGTGACTTCCAGCCTGACATTGATATCGAGGTTGTTGGTGTCGGTGACATGGATAAGCTCGAGCTGCGCGTCGATATTCGCCACAAGTCAAACTGGTCCAACGAAACTGTCCGTAGTGCCCGCCGCTCTAAGTTCATGTGTGCTCTGGTTCTTGCAGTCCGCAAGATCCCTGTTCGCGCCCCTGGCGTCGCCATCGAAGAAGAAGCCAAGGAAGACGGCGAGGATAAGGGTGACGACGATGCCGCCTCCAACACTGGTAACCGCAAGTCCGGCCAGGACGCAGGATTAGCTCCTGCTGCCGGTTTCGCCGCTGGCGAGACCCTGTCTCCGAACACCGCTCAAACATCCGGCTTCGACCAGAAGCGATCTTCCGGCACCGTCACCAAGCGTGGGTCTCAAGCCAGCGAAGCCGCCATCGCCGATCGCCTCAACCTTCGTTCCCCAGCCGTCGATATCGCCCGTGACGACGGCCTTCATGCCAATGCAGGCCTCTACCGCACAGCGACAAACGCTTCCAACCAAAGCCAGTCTCTGAGCGTCAAGGAAGGTAACACCATGCAACGCGGCCTCTCCACGGGCCACCGCAAGGCTGGCACCCACGTCTCCTACCACGGTGAAGACGGCGATGTTCCTCGCCCTCTCTCCCCCGTCCGCGCAGGCATGACCCCGTCAACTAGCGAAGTTCCCATCCTCGGAGCTCCCGCGCCCCCAGGTTCCCGTGGCAGCGCCCGTTACGAGCCTCAGCATAGCAACATCATCGGTTCTCCGGAGTACACCTCAACCTACTACAACACCCAGGAGAACCCCTTCGACCCCGTCTCCATCCGTGGCGTGAGCTCCGAGCAGTACGCGCATGAGCGGCCTCCTAGCCAGCATTATGAGATGGACCGATATGATCCTGTCTCGCCGCCATCCGTTTACTCGCCTCATCCTGGCGAGACTGATCCTGCACGTCGTAACTCGCTCATTGAGAGGATGAGACGCGGTAAGCAGGATAAGTCTCGTGGAGAGCATGAGGCGTGAGGTAGTCATTCATAGCGATTTTTCTGACTCTTTTCTTTCTCTCTCTCTCTCTCTCTCTCTTCTTTTCTTTTCTTTTCATTTTCTCTCTCGCATGGGCTGTTCTTTTTTTCCCGTGCCAAAATTTCCCCGGTTTATTGTATGATATGAGCCATGCGCTGCTTGATCTAGATATTGATCTCAATACAAGCCCTTAACAGGGCTGATGATTCTTCATTTTGCTCCTCTCCACAGAAGTAACTTTGTAGCGTAGTAGATAAATAACTTGAACCCCGCCTCGAGGCGGCCAAGTAGTCACGCTTTATGGAAAGCATCATGATAGCTACTACCTAGGTAGTAGTAACTGCTCCTTCGCCTCGAGCTTTGCACAGCACTGGCGTAGTTACTTGTAGTACCTTGTTCTCCCAAATTAAGATTTGCTAGCATACTATACTGCAGATTGAAGTAGGGCATCTTATTTCACTCATATAATCACAATATAATACACGAAAGGCTTGAACTTGAAAAGAAAACCAAATCTCTAGAGAGGAAAAGGGGCCATCAAGTCCCCGCAAGTAAACGAAAGATCCGAGTCAGACTTTACCCTGGGGCAGTCGGTATATATCCCTCTGGTCTTTCTATTTACCAGACTCCTTCCAAGGATACGAGACAGGATCACCCTTCCTAATCCAAATCTTCGACTTCTTCTTGTTAACAATGTGCTCAACGAAAACCTCCCGCACATGCTGCGCCTTGTACTTGCGGATCCACCGCGGATCCCAGAGTTCGCTAGCAATGCCGAGATCCTTACAGCAGCGCACAAGGGCATTGGATCGACAGCCCTCTGTCGCGGTGGGAATACCATCAGGTGAGAAATAGTCTTGTTCGCCGCGAGCAACGGAGACGAGGCTAACATCATTCATTCGTTAGCTTACCATGTACGGTAGGGACATCTCGGCTTAATTGCTTATTGCTTATTGCTTACCGTCCATTACAGACAAGAGCGTATTCTCTCGTCACTGTCCTAGGTGTAACGATACTCTCGCTCCGCGGTACAAGACCCCAGCCACCGGGTCCAAAGGCGCGGTTTAGAATGCGTCGGTACTTGATTTCGGGGAGGTAGAGGATTCCATCGGGCTTGATCTCGACTTCTTCGGGGTCTGTCTCGGCGAGGAGGATGTCGGCTGCTTCTTTGGGGAATGGTTCGGCGGATAGACCGTGGAAGGAGCGGGTCCAGTCTATCTTCTCTTCTGGTGCGGACTCGAGCTCGAGGGGTTTGTCCGAGAGTCCGCTTTTCGAGATGTTATCCGTTGTAGGTTTGTTGGGGGTTGGCGCGGTGAATCGGGGAGGAAGGGGAGCTTGGGAAGAGGGCTGCGAGGTTGAGGTCGTGGTTGATCGGGGCGTGGTGGTTGTGGTGGTGTTGTTGGAGCTGTTCTGGACTCGGGGTGCGCTGGAGCTAATTGCGCGCGCGGTCATTTGGTTGCGGAGTTGGTGCGAGGTGATGCTTGTTCGCGATGAGGGTGTCACATGCTGGAGAGACTCCAATGCCCGCCAGGGACGGCAACGTAGAGCTGACATGGTGGGCTGATGTGGGGTGGGGAGTTCTTAGAGGTTGGTGAGCAGTGGGATGCAGTGATGGAGCTGCCCCGGCGCTGTTGACTGATATCGGTTGATCACGTGATGACTGCATGAAGGCGTGAAAGTGGCTGCTCCTACTGGTACAAGTGGGCGTAGACAATCTGGGAGATGAGATGGTATTGTACATTGCGTGCGCTAGATAAAGTGGTTCATAAATAGACAGATCTGGGTGCCATTTGTTGCATATCATGCGTCTTTGGTCTCCGTTCGCTGGTCGTTGCCATTCTGCTTCCAGCATTCGCGGAAAGCTTCCATCTGCAGTCAATGTTAGTAATGGATGATGTATAAACGAGGAGATGTAAATGATGTAAATAGAGGGGATAGCAGCTGGCCCAGGTGGGAGCATATCAAGTAGTATAGAAGAGGCCATAAAAGGCCTTATATGACGGGTTTTAGCTCACCTCTTCTTTGCACTCACGCCAATCCTTCTTGGCAAAGTAGCAGTCATTCATCTTATCTTGTTCGGCTATTCTCACAAAGCCTCAGTCAGGGTATGATTCATAGACCAAGTTGAATGCTTAAAAAACTCACCGTGACAGCCAGTGCTGAAGATGCGCTTGTCCCTGTTGTTGCGTGGTAAGCACCATTCCGCCGCGCGACAGACCATTGGGAAGTCAGTTACCATTCATCGGGCTCATCGTCATCCACCGCTTCGGTATGAGGTTGCTCTGCGTTGTTTGACATGGTTGGAAGTATGAGAAGGTGGAAGATGGGGAATCTCAGTCCGCAAGGCGGTTGGCATCGGAGATCCCCATGGCTATCTTATCGTCCGAGCCCGCGATTCTCCAATTCCCAACAATCATCGCAATCAACAATGGCCGCGCCAACAGGCAATAATGCCAATCTGACTGCTAAGAGACTGAATGTCTTGGTCTATTCCGGTGCGCTCAATTACTCAGCCCATCAACTCAGCCGCTTGCTCACCGACAGCGGTACAATAGGAACCGGAACGACCGTTGACTCAGTCCGTCACTGCGTCTACACCCTACGCCGCTTACTCGCTTCCCACTATGCTGTCACTCCAGTCACGGGGGACATGCTTCTCAACGAGCCATGGACAGCAACCTGCGCTCTCTTGGTGATCCCCGGTGGCGCAGATCTAGGATACGGCCGCACGCTTAATGGTGCGGGGAACCGGCGCATCACACAGTTCGTGCGTCGCGGGGGCCACTACTTGGGATTGTGCGCGGGTGGCTACTATGGTTGCAAAAAGTGCGAGTTCGAGGTCGGGGATAAGACAATGGAGGTCATTGGAGAGCGTGAATTGGCATTTTACCCTGGCACTTGTCGTGGCGGGGCGTTTCCGGGTTTCGTTTATCATAGTGAAAATGGTGCCAGGGCGGCTGGACTGGATGTTTCAAAGGAGGCATTGAGTGGTGGCACAGCGCCTACCCATTTCAGATCATACTACAATGGAGGCGGAGTCTTTGTGGATGCGCCGAAGTTCAAAGATCAAGGGGTAGAGGTGCTGGCCAATTACTCCGAGAAGCTCAATGTTGACCCTGGAGAAGGCGCAGCTGCTGTTGTATACTGCAAGGTTGGGGACGGTGCGGCTATTTTGACAGGACCTCACCCGGAGTATGCGGCTAGATCATCCTCGTCAATGAAGTATCATTAACTAACCCTGTTTTCTAGATTCGCCGCAGTCAATCTCAATCCAAATGAAGGCGGGTCTGACTATAAAGATGTCGTGGATGCCATTGCTGCTGATGATAAGGAACGTACGGAGTTTCTGAAAGCTTGCCTGCTCAAGCTTGGCCTGCAAGTTGCACAAGACACCTCAGTGCCTTCTCTGTCATCCTTGCACGTTTCTGGCTTAGATGCCGATGTGCCGTTGGAAATATTGTCATTGCTTGCCCCATCACTAACAAACGAAAATGACAACGAATATCTGAAAGATGAGAACGATACATTCCGAATTGAGCGTCCAGGTGCATGGAAACTGAGCGATCTGGAGGAGGCACTCCCCACTGATGGCGACGGCATTGTTGATTACCAGACCGTTACCAAGCGACTCGTGATTCACGATGAGCTACCATCTTCGAAGCTTACCCTTACTTCAACCACCATGCATTTTACTCAAACCTTCGCCAATACCAGTCCGAGTCTCGGGAGGTGCATCGGAATTCGGGTCAAACCTTATGTATGGCGAGGTTGTGACAAGCACCAACACAATCCTCGAAAAGTAAGTGGTTTGACAATAATCTGTTTTTGAGAGTTGTTAACAATTTCTAGAAACACAAAACTTCTGCGGCTTCTACCACAAGGATTCACCGCCACTGCGACGGTCCAAGTTGCTGGACGAGGACGCGGGTCCCATGTTTGGATTTCTCCAGCTGGATCATTACTTTTCTCGACGGTGGTGAAGCATCCGATGGAAAAGATCCAATCTGCACCTGTAGTGTTCATCCAATATCTATCAGCCATGGCTGTAGTGAAAGGTATCAAGAGTTATGCCAAGGGCTATGAGAAGCTGCCCATCAAAATGAAGTGGCCGAATGACGTTTGTAAGTGTCGACTTCTGCTCACCTACCTTTCCAAATTCTGATGACCTTCGCAGACGCCCTTGACCCGGAGGACCCCGAACAGAAACGGTACACTAAAATTTGCGGCATACTTGTCAACTCCCACTTCATGTCAAACGAATACATCTCTGTTGTTGGCATTGGCCTCAACGCCACAAATGCTTCTCCCACCACTGCACTCACGGCCCTCGCCGCCAAATACGCCTCGCCTGGGGCTGCTGCTGCATGCCCTATCACACTCGAAAAACTACTTGCACGCATTTTGACAACCTTCGAAGATCTCTATACCCGCTTCCTCCGGACTGGATTTGACCGTGGCATGGAGGAGCTGTATTACGACGACTGGCTCCACATGCATCAGATTGTCACTCTTGAGGAGGAGGGCGGTGCTCGTGCCCGCATCCAGGGAATTACCCGAGATTATGGTTTGCTGCTTGCTGAGGAGCTGGGGTGGAATGACCGACCAACAGGACGAGTCTGGCAGTTACAGAGCGACAGTAACAGCTTTGACTTCTTCAAGGGCCTCGTCAAACGGAAGATCTGAAAATATCTCGCTTGTCGGCGATAATTACCCAGGGTGGTTGGGATTTACATTTCCCTTTGATTGCCCAGGTTTTACCAACTATTTGACCGTATATATTTGTTCACTGGATAGAGCTAAAATACATATAAACCTCCAACGTTACACCGAGTGAATTGCATATGCATATTACTACTAGTATGCATCCACGAGGTTTAACCATTGAAGTGCGTTGAGGGCCAATGGAGCTCAATGACCGGGTACGTACCCCGTGGGCTTTTCCCACAGGATAATTTGGGTTTGCAAGTCCTCCTCGAAATTGGGCTTTCGTGAAAACACTGGCCATGAAGTATCGAAAAGGCCCACAATCCACTATATTATTGACACTGCACTCCGTACTCCGTATCCGGACCCCGTGCGTCTTTGAGAGCGAGGCTTAGTTCTCCTTCACCGCGCCCTGCCAGACAACTTGCGTCGTCATATGATGTTCTCCATACGAGTAATCCAAAATGCTTCTCTGTGGTTCCAAAACTCCACAATTTCCGTCCCGAATGTCTTCCGAATGCCTGTTCTAAAAAGGGGCGCTGATCGTCACTAGTGGTTAATCAAGCCGGACCCGAATTATTGATTGTTTCCTCCGCCCACCTTGTAAGTTTTGCGGTAGTCAATTTCTATCCAAGGCATGTTGTATCCCAAACCCTTTGCCCGACTCGTTTTCGAACCACGCTCACCTTTCCAGGCCCCCGGGTTTGTGACGGTTACTCTTCTGGGTCTCCCCGGCGGATCTCGAACCAAGACATTTAGTCCCGCGTAGACCCACAAGCCAAATCTCTAAATGCTCAGCTTGTTTCCGTCCAAGCCATTCCTCCAATGGATAGTGTTTCAGATGATCTCCTCAGACTAGCTACCATGCCGCCCACCGCTAGACTGCCTTGTTCTCCAAAGACACTGTTTCGGACGATCTCCCCACAGTCCGGCGGTCCACATGGTCAACTTACCGACGTATCTTCAACTGACCGCTTAGCACAGAGTAGTATCTCATATTGGAAAATCTGGATATCTGAGAATATAAAAGGGGACTCTATCCCGGTGAAGAGAAGCAATCAATCAAACAATCCTTCCTCCCTCTTCAAGTCCTCTCAAACACTTCCACAACTCAGCCAAAATGGTCCGCATCACCGCCCTCTTCACCCTGGCCTTCGCCGCCCTCGCTCTGGCTACCACCAACACCCAGTGCCAGAACAAGTTCGACACCTGCCGCAGCTCTGGCGACCCCAACGAGGCCCAGTGTGCTGCCGAGCACGCTGCCTGCTGCTCCGACGCCTTTGACACCTGCCGCAGCTCCGGTGACCCCAACGAGGCTCAGTGCGCTGCTGACAACGCTGCCTGCAAGGGCCAGAAATAAGTCCAAAGGGGCTAAAATACATGCCTTTCTCGACTTTAATACGGGATTTCAATTATGAAAAGGCTTGGAGAGCAATTTTGCTTCTCTATCCGGGAATACACCCGGTGAATATGCGGGTTGGGAATGAAAAAGGAATGGTCGATAATGGGTGAAGTCTGTTCGAATTCATGTCAAATATTTGCCTGCCTTTTCTCTACAGCTTTGTACAAAAATCATATCTTATTCAATCCGCAATGAGGTTTCAAGTATGAAGTATGGAGCAGATATTCTTGATTCCGTGGAATATGTTGCAGTGTCGGTCTGTAACACCCATTAGAGAGAAGCGTACTCCGTACATACCCGTTGGCATAAGTTTAATCAAGTGCATGTTGGGCTTGCACTTTTTGGACGAAGGGATCCACCTACAGAAACGTTGAGCACCCCTTTGTGGTTGAAGTGGGTCAGAGAGTCCGAGTCGTCAGGTGGTGATCTTAGCTAATATCATGTTGACTTTCCAAAAGTACTAGATAAATACTACTAGTAAAAGCCTCACCTAGTGGACGGGTAGATGCAGTGGTTGGGCCTACGTGGGTAAGGTATATCCTGGCGCCAAACCTATAACATTCCAACTTGAAGGTTCCATGAAAAACAATCCCCCATCTATATACATCTACTTCAGTGATATCTATATACATCTTATTTTCTCAGGCTGCTATTTGATTACGCATTGTTGGCGCAGGAAAAACTGGCACTCCCGGGGTTGTCGTGGATGGCTTTACCAGAGCTATAAAGGCCAAGAACGCACTATAAAAAATATTGTCAGTGGGCTATCACAGAAATTTACTACCGAGGAGAACTCACCAGAACAACTCCAACAGAGATAGCAAAGAAGTTGAGTAGAGTATGAATAGTCTTCTTAGGAGAAGCAAACCATAAACCTTGGTCCATATGCAAGCCAAAGATGCCAGTAAACCCGAAGGTAAACCAACTACCGAAAAGCGCAGTCTGTTTCAGGCGTCAGCAGTGGAAGTAAAAATATATATATATACCAGGAAATTGAGAACTAACAATCAGGCTTAAAAGGTTGTTAAAAACAGGAATTGCTTCCGCAATAACCCAAGCAACCAGCCAAAGCACCGCGGCAATGCCAACCCAAGAGCCAACAGCTGCGAAGTCTCGCTTGTGCATGCGGTCGGTGCCCGCAAACAGACGGATATAGATTGACTTGGCCGCTACGTGACTATTTATAACACCTGCTATGACAATCTAAACAAGGATTTAGTAAAGCATCGCCAAGAAAATGTAGTATGCAATAAAACTTACCGTAGGAAGGGCAACACCATATGCTATCCGAGAGATCAAAGGACCAGCTGAGCCTAGTGCTGGAGATGTGACGTCGGCACCTGCAAATCGGTATATCACAACTGCTGCAACGATATAAAGAGTCATATCCACGGTTTGTAGAAGGGCGAGAGCTTTGGGAAAGTCCTTAGGATCTTTGAGTTCGGCGATAAAGGTGAAAAAAGTATTGTGGCTGACTGTTTGATATTAGAAGTGGCTCTAGAAAAGTATTTTTTGTTGCAAAGATAGGACATTACCGTAAGAGAAAGCAATATTAGCCGCGGCTGTGAAACCGGTGACCAGGTTTGTCTCTACTGTGGGATGGACGATTGCTTCAGGATTCTGAATACCCACGGCAACCATGCAAATCATAACGGCCGAGAAAATGCTAACGAAAGCTACAAAGGTACGAGAATTAGCCACACCTATTCATGACGATGGGAAATGAGACAGTAAAGGGAGAAAGCTCACAAACAAGTGAAAACCACGAAACTTTTTCCAGTGTTCGTGGCAAGGACAAAATACAGGAAATGATCATTCCCACAATACCAAAAACAATTGAGCAAGTTGCATGGTTTGTGATTGTATTGAGTGCCACGGTAAATGTGAGAATGTGGCTGGCCATGATAAATACGAGGAAGAGCAGCTGGGCAGTTCCAAATAACTCATATCCAAAGCGGCCCATCAAGACCTCGCCTGCATCGGCCATGCTAGAAATGTGAGGATGTCTCTCCTTGAATTTCCCAATAAGATATCCGGTATATGTTGCTAGAAGGCCCATGCCAATAAGCACAACAAGAGCTGGAGCAAGGCCCATACCTGCCACAGCAGCTGGAAGAGATAATATGCCCAGGGAGATAGTTTCTGACACCATGAGCAGGCCACCTTGCCTGGATTATACGATCAGGAATTAGCCGTTGAAAATCGATCGGATCCCAGAAAGGCTCGACAATAACATACCACCACTTTAAGACTTTGTACTTAACCTCTGCATTTTCCTCATCACCGAATGCATCTTGTCGTTGCGGTGTAGGGTCGGGCTTCTTTTCGGCATCGAAAGCGTCAGGATTAGCCCATGCCTGATTTGTGTCGATGTTGGTGGGCTCAATATCCACAATCTGAGGCCTCGTTGTGGTCGTCATCTTCATGTTTCACTCGAAGGATCAGGAAACAAAAAATTGTTGCTCAAACCAAGGACCAGAAAATGCTATGTTGCCAACGCAAAAGTAGCAAGGGTGAAGGCGAAATGAAAGTATAGAATAAATCACACAGAAGACATTCCGGGGGAAATTGATGAACGCAGCCCCGGACCCATTTTTGCGGGGGGGCTTAACAGTCTCCTTCCATTTCGGTAAGTCGAATAGTTTCACCCTGATTGTGTGGGAGTAGGAGGCCAAACAGGGTGGATCGTGGGTGCTAGTTTCGCCCAGTAAAACTAGGTCGAAGCTGGGTAAAGCAAGTACCCATGGCGGCAATACGGCAGAAAGCTTCTGTTGGTGTAGGGAAAGGCATGCCTGTTCAGAGGTAGATAAGGCCACTTTTATCGTATCCTGCGTAGTCCGACGCCTTTTGGGAAGTTTAGGCTTATCGCCTGGGACGCGATTAGGGCTTCCTTACGTGGGGGACTGGACTGGCATATATCAAAATGTTTTGGCAGCAGCATGCCAAATTTTAATACCTAGTTATTGCACTTATTTCAATTACCCCAGCCTCGTCCCCAGATTCCTCATTTTTTTCGAGTTACGTGACACAGCACGGAATCTGGGGCATCGCTCCGCAGCCCCAGTTCTCGGAAAGGCTTCCCGTTTTCGGAGTCGCCTTCCCGCTAGAACTTGAACGTCATGAGCTTGAGGGTCACTCCATTTAAGGATCTCGGTATAGAAGATCCTGCTTTCTAAAGAACGTAAAATTTTACAATTGAACCCATTGATCTAGCCTTAGTACTGGACTGCCAATGGACGGTTTCGAGAGGTCGTACTAGTACTACTAGACTGTAGTATATATACGAGTCGGGCACCTGAGCAAGATTTTGGGAACACCTGTGGACCCTATACTACTACTAGTAATAGTAAGCCCTGGAATACTAACATTGGAAGATAGTATTGAGGACAAGGAAGGTTCCAATTACGCATCGGAGCAAATTGCTAACTTGGATAATACTACTATTTACTAGGCACTAGTAGTATTAGAGGCAGTCTGTGGTAAGGCATTGAAAGTACAGACTTGGGCACCACTGGTATCGGAGTCACTAACAGGCAAGACATCCCGATCGTGTGTCACGGTGTTCTCAGATTGTTAGACAAGGTGGAACTTCAATGAAGACTAGATGATATGTGTACCAACTATGATTTAATCTCTCTAGTAGAAATGTCTTCTCGAAATGAGATCAAGTCCTTGAATGAGATATTGCGGCATGAAAAATGATAAGGCAATCGAAAGAATATTCCTTTTCGACGACCATGTTCACCAGTAGGACTACAATCTTGGGGTCCTAGCTTTAGACCTGTAAACATAGGCTATGAATCAACTTCGCGAAGCTAGATGTGCAGTGGTGACTCCATAGGTTGCAATAGCCTGAGAGAGGTTCAATATATCCGCAGTGTTTTCGAGTCCTTCACACATCTCGCTGATCTGCTCCTTCTAATTCTTCAATGATATGATCCCCGACAGGTTCACGACTCCCTTGTCTCTATTATATGCCTCAGAAACTTCCCCCAATACCTGCATAGCACTGGCAATAATACCTTGCAGGTGGTTATAGCGGAGTGGTAGAGTTAAGGTTCATATTCTAGGGATATCTTCAGGCCGGTAATCCCGATAATTCGGGTGCATCACAAAAGCTAACGGGCACTACCCCTTACTTCGGAGTCCGGCCTTGATCCAACCTTGCTCCAGCCCACATGAGTAGGATGACGCATTGGGAGTGACATCGGGCATGAAGAATTGCGAGGGGGCGAAAGAGTGGATTGGGGTTGGAAGGGGCGCATTTATATGCGCCTTTGCCTGATGGTTCGCATCGATTGTTGAACTATATTTGGTGGAGGCGTTCTTGGAAATCATTGTGGCGCCGCGGGGCTGGTCGGCTCATGGGCCGAAGGTCAGCTTGGTGATGGATTGTTATCGTAGTGCTTGTGCATAAGTATTTCTACATATGATCAGTAATACCGTAGATTTAGAGATCGAAATGAGATCCAAATGTCCGAGTCCCGAGGTGCGGGTATGTTCTTAGTCCGTATGCTGGTGATGACTGTTTAGTTGGCTTAAAATTCAGGTTACAAGGCTGTAATGTGACTTGTCTTCGAAGTCTCTACTTAGTGAATCTCTGGCCATTTTCCTGAATTCTAATCACTATCGAAATTATATACTGCCAGTGGTCGACGTGGGAGGCCGAGGGTTTCAAAGTTTGCCAAAGCAATGCCAATGCATTCTGGCCAAGCACCCCGTCAGGTTATAGTTCTTCTCGATATCCTGCCATATTGCTCAATATGTAGATATCTATTCCCCGATAGCCATACAGATAATACGTCTTTCTCGTAAACAAACAAACCACCCATCTAGGATATCTATCCGCTTGCATCCTATGGTTGACGTCAAAATGCCAACCGCGTGTCAATCTGGCAAAGTGGGTCCCCTTGACAAGAGAACTTGGTTGAGCCAGGGCATGGCAGGGACTAGACTGCCGCGATCGGGAATTTTATTTGGAGCTAGATGGATGATATTCGGCATCTGAAACACCATGGTTCGAGGCCAGCTTTTTCTTCCCAAGCCGAGAATCGGTGGGCCCCTGGTCATTGCGGAGCGGCGAGGACCCGGTCTTGCCGGACAGTGTCCGCAAAAGCCCGCCTAGGAGTAATTGGGTCGTTTAATTATGACCGCTATGATTATTGATCTGTGAAGGTTTGCGGGTGAGTACGAGTACAAGTATCTTTGCGGGTGTTCTCTTCTACGCGGTTCCCCAATGGATGGTTAGACATCGATGGCGGGCAACATGAGTATCAGGTCCATGGAAAAGGTTTAAGATGGCGCCGAGTGTACAGGAATATCTGCTTATGCCACCATAAAACGAAGCACGGAGTGGTTCAGCATGGTCAGATGTTCTTTCGCATGTTAGCTGATAACGAAGTGGAGCCAAGTTGGACGCCGTTAGATCCTTCATCTCGTGGTACGGCTATGGGTTGACACAAGCCAAATAGGAGACCGATAGAGTTGGAGCATACATATTGTACAAGGCTTATGGATATGGTTAGGGTTTGATTTGACCCAAGCTCCAGGATCCATACTTCGTGCATCGTTGTTTCATGATGCCCGCGGGGCGGCGTCGAGACGGCCGTTTTTAATCACGAACCTGTCGATCATGCGCCAGCCAGCCTCGAACTGGTACGAGCTTCCTTGGCCTGGACTGGGAGCCCCGTCGGGCGAGGCTTGCATGGCGCCGAACAGTCTGGAGCTGAATGGGATCGGAATGGGTGGTCGTACGATTACGCTCAATTTTGGGAATGGACCATGTGAAGGGTGAAGTGGCTGCTATGGGATCGACAAGGGGATTCAGAGCGACCAAAACGCAATTCGGAGGACTCTCTCTCATTGCACGAATACTCTGTACGTTATGCAGAGCCTATCGTACTCGTCGGAACCTTGTTGGGCGGCGGTCTTGGTCTCGGTCTTGTTCTCCATGAAATTTCTCTGATATGGATCTCCCCATTGAAATGGCTGGTCGGCTCAGCTGGGCCGTCCACATTGCGTGTCGAGCTTGGACTGGACGGTGGAGCCAGATGACAGGAGAAACTGCCGTATTGGTCTGACTGGCCCGTCTCCTTGAGTTGGAGTCTCCATCAGGGTAGAGAGAGGGCAGCGATCGACAGAAACCAAGTCCGGATGGCTGCGCGCCTGGGCAGCCGAGCCAAATCAAATTAAAATGAGAAGATCGAAAATCCCTTGAACGTGGACAGGTGGAAATTGGGGGGGTTCATCCCGGGCAGCCCCATCAGGGTGATAACCTAAAGGTGCATTTGAAACGAACAGCCCCTGAGGCTAGACCGAGGTCGGTACGGAGTGTACAGGTAGGCAGTGATCAGGAGTAGAGTTACGGAGTAGACAGAAAAAGATTCAACTGGAGAACGGAGTACTAGTACTCCGTATACTCGTACATAGGTCAAGAAGAAGTGAAGTGGAGAAGACAACGTGGTACTCCGCCGGAAAAGAAAAGAAAATAAAGAAACCCATGGTTGAACTGCGGCAGGTACGGGAGAGGAGAGGAGGAAGGTACGACTACTCTTTGTGATCTTGACCATCTCGGCTTTGACTACGGAGTATCTTGACCACTCTGGAACTTCCACAATACACACTTCCACTTCACTACCACTACCACTACCACTACCACTACCACCAGGTCTACTTGGTCTACTTGTCGCCCCTGACCGCATCTGCAAGGCCTCGCTTGCCCGGTCTCCACCAAAAACAGAGCAACACACCGAATCCTCCTTCATCTTAATCGGGGCTAAACCGCCTGCAGATTAGTTCGTGCACGGTCTTCTCCAGACGTTGCGCTTTTTACACCCTTGATCCCCCTTCTCCTCCAGGGGTTTATTCAAGATATTGTGTTGGGGGGTACACTGTCTGATCTCTTCAGGTGCGTCGCCTCAATCTCGTGTTTCAATGCGCCCGCAACTCCCGCACTTCATTCGTTGCCCGACCGATTGACTTTCCCAACTCCCGCCCTCACCAAAAATTAAAAGGGGTTACTAACAATCGCGGCCTCCAATTTAGACCACACCTTGATCTTGTTCACGCCTCATGACCGCGAACCCTTCACTCGGATAATTTCTACAGTCCTCTCCCCCTTTTCCCCCACGCAACGTGGTTTCGACAAGGGCGATGACGGCCTCACCGCCAGCCTCACCAACGGGGACCGCCCCGCGGCCCATCAGCGCGGTGATGCGCACGCCGCGCAGCAATAGTCGCATGAGTATGAGTAGTCGGCAGGGTGGAAGCCGGGCCTCGGACGAAGATGGCAAGACCGCCGTCAAAGTCGGTATGTGGTCTCTGTTTCAAGATGTGATACGCGCGCATCGCTTTCAATAGTCATACCCCCCCAAATCGATGGAAATAATGGAATGTACGCGGAGAATAGATCACTAACATCCCCGATATCTTAGCTGTCCGAGTGCGACCTCCTCTGAAACCCACCGATCCCGGATACGAATTGATTCCGCAACGATTCCAACGCTCCATGGTTCACGTCACGGCCCCGACCAGTTTGGCCGTCGATGTGCCGCAAGGCCGCAAGCTCTTCGTTTTCGATCGCGTATTCCCTGAAACCGTTGACCAAGATGGTGTTTGGGAATATCTGAATGACAGCGTAAGCTCGTTCGTCCAGGGATATAATGTTTCCCTTCTTGCCTACGGTCAATCCGGTGCCGGAAAATCCTATACCATGGGTACCTCGGGCCCTAGTGAGCAAAGTCAAGCAGAGGCAATGGGTATGTTCGACTCGAATGATGTATAATACGACAGCGAGAGAACCAGCATACTAACTATGCGCAATCTCTAGGTATTATTCCCCGTGCTGCGCAAGCTTTGTTCGAGAAGCTCGATGGCCCCTCCAAACACACCCGCAATGGCTCAAGTTCAACTGGTCTGCGGACCCCTCAAAGATACTCCATGAGTTCCGCCGCTAGCTTTGGGAAACTGAACCTGGAGAAGAACTGGCAGCTCAAGGCGACTTATGTCGAGGTATGAAGATTTCATACTCCACCATCCGTTGGGAATTTTCTAATACTCGGTTTGCAGATCTATAACGAACATCTCCGCGATCTGCTTCTTCCCGAATCCACTGGGAGCAGTGACCGCAGCAACGTTTCAATTCGCGAAGATACCAAAGGGCGCATCCTTCTCACAGGCCTCCACCAGGTCAATATTAACTGCTTTGATGATCTGATCGGTGCCCTGAACTTCGGCTCCACTATTCGCCAAACCGATTCCACCGCGATCAACGCCAAATCCTCCCGCTCGCATGCTGTTTTTAGCTTGAATCTCGTCCAGCGGAAGTCTAGTGGTGTGCAAGCAACTTCTTCTCCGAAAGAAAAGCGCATGTCTATGCCTGTTGATTCCTTCTCAGGCGGTGATTCCATCACTGTTGAAAGCAAGCTCCACTTCGTCGATCTGGCTGGTAGTGAGCGTTTGAAGAACACCGGTGCCTCTGGTGAGCGCGCAAAGGAGGGTATCTCGATCAATGCTGGTCTCGCGGCTCTCGGAAAAGTCATTTCGCAGCTTTCTTCTCGCCAGTCCGGCTCTCATGTTTCGTACCGTGACTCAAAACTCACCCGTCTTCTCCAGGATTCACTGGGCGGCAACGCTTATACCTACATGATCGCCTGTGTGACCCCTGCTGAGTTCCACTTGAGCGAAACTCTCAATACTGTTTCATACGCCCAGCGCGCTCGTGCTATCCAGAGCAAGCCCCGAATCCAACAAGTTGCCGACGAGGGGGACAAACATGCTTTGATCGAACGCTTGAAAGCCGAGGTTGCATTCCTTCGACAACAGATCCGCAATTCAGAGGGATCAGAACGCCGCGACACAACCTCAACTGACCGCAGCGACCGCAAGAACGAGCGAGAGATTCAGCTGCAAAACCAACTTCTCGACGTCCAAGAGAGCTATAATGCCCTCAGCCAGCGCCATACCAAGCTGATTTCTCATCTGGCCGACGATAACCAGGCCGCCAACGGCGAGGTTGATGATACCACTGTTGATGGAAAGATGTCCATTGAGCGAATGCAGCGATCGCGCTCCTTCGCCGAGTCTGTGGAGCAGGTGGTTCTCGAATACGAGAAAACCATCCAAGCCCTCGAGTCCTCCTTGTCTGACACGCGATCCTCTCTAGCAACTACTGAAAGCACTTTGCTTGAGCGAGAGACTAAATGTACTTATGTTGAGACTGTTAACGCACAGTTGCAGTCCCGCATTCAAAAATTCTTAGATCGGGAGGTGGGCACTGAGACCTACCTCCATGAACTGGAGTCTAAGCTCGATGGTGCCTCTACCGGAGAGGAGAAACATGCGGCTATCGTGGCCGAGCTGCGCAAGGAGATCAGCCGCGCACGTGAAAATGAAACTAGCTGCGAGGAATACATCTCAACATTGGAGGACCGCCTGGCCGAATCTGACCAAGACATGGAGCTAATGCAGCGCGAGGTCATCCGCCTCGAGCATGTCATTCAGCGCCAGAGAGGCCTTGGGCAGCTGGATAATCTGCTTCAGGACCTTGATTCGCGCCACCACAATGCTGACGAACAGCCCGAAGCCCCCAACGGTGTCAATTCTTCCTATGCTCCCGTTCCTGCTAAGACTCAGTTCCACCGACACACCCCATCCCTGGATGTTCTGAACGAAGCCGTTGAAGTAGCCATCCCCGAGTCCGATGAGGATCTTGGCGAGCCGATTATTGAGGTTGACGAGGAATCGGTAGCCGAAGTTGAGCAGCCCGCCAGCGAGACCAGCGATGACCTGAGAGTCTTGGAGAATGTCACCAGCAAATTGGAGGCCCGTCGCTCGGAGGCTCTACGTGAAGACCCTGTTACTAGCCCTGCCCAATCTCAGTTTGTTGCCGACAAGCTTGAGACTGTTACCCAGGAGCTTTTCGACTTGCGCCTCTCCCATGAAGGTGCTCTTGGGGACTATGAGTTGCTTGAATCAAAGTACGAAGAGGCCATGAAGGAACTGGCTGCGCTGCGCCAGGACAAGCTTGATGAAACACTTCATCCGGCCCCGAGTGTCCAGAACGAGGTCTCCCGCCCCGTTTCTTTTTTAGAGGATGTAAAGGCTCCGAACGCCAAGTCTGGAGCACAACATTCATTCTCGCAATCGCTCTCCTCGGAATTATCCTCGGCGAGGGATCGACTGCATTGCGCGAATCATCTGATGACTCGAAACTTGAGAACCCAGAGACTCCAGTCACCCCGATGGCACCTTCCACCATCGCGCCATCTGACGCTGAGGACCTGGACAGGATGCGCAAGGTTCTTGCCGAGCATCAGGAGGGCACGGATTTGATGACTCAGAAGTATGGTCAGCTCCAGACTGAGCATGAGGAGATTCTTCTACTTGTTGAAAAGCTTAAGGCCGAGGCCGAGGCACAGCGCGCTAAGACAAGCTCCCCTACCACTCCTGGCTTCAAGATGATCCGCCGCATGACAAGCCAAAATCTTCTCTCCGGCGTGGACCGTGCTCACCGTTCTCTGACATCGCTGCGTACCATTGCGAATGAGGAGTTCTCCAGCAAGCCGGAGACGCTACAAAACTTCGAGGTTCACCTGGATGCGACTATGCACGAACTGGCCACCCGCATGGAGCGACTGCAGTCACTCGAAGCTGAAAACCAGAGCGTGAAGAAGGAAATGGAGATGAAGTCCACTATCATTTCCGGCCTGACCCGAGAGCGCTCGAGTTTGCAAGGTGGCTCCTCTGTGGACATGGGTATGGTCGGCCAATTACGTGATCAGATCATTGCCCAGGAGAACCAAATCAATGAGCTTAAGCAAGCGCATGAAGCTCGCGAGAAGCAGTTGTTGTTCGAGATGGAGACCCTTGAGGGTCTTCTAAAGAGCCAAGAGTCTGCCACTAAGGCCATGGATGCTGGCGCGGAAGAGCAAGACAAGAAGATTGACGCTCTGGAAGGGGAACTTTCCGAGTGGAAGGGCAAGCACCAAAATGCCCTTACATCTCTGCAGTCGTCTGAGACACAGCTCTCGACAACTCTAGCCGAACTTGAGACTGCCCTGGCTTCTGTAGAAGCAATGCGCTCTGAGCGCGCTGCTGCGGATGGCTCTTCCGACAGGGAAGCTGCTGCACAGGCCCTTGAGTCTGAACGATTCAAGCAACAGGAGCTTGTGGAAAAGCTGAAGAACGACATTGACCAGCATCAATCCACCATCACCGCCCAGATCGCTACTATTGCTGGCTTGGAGCAATCACACGCCGACGCTCAAAAGCAACTATCTGCAGCTAAGGAGAGCGGCAGCGGCTCGGCAGACTCCCAGCAGGCCCGAGTTGCGGAGCTTGAAGAGCATATCTCTATCCACAAGTCGGTCATTGATACCCACAAATCTGACCTCGAATCCCTGCAGAGCTCCCATGCCACGGAACTGACAGAGTTGGAGGAACGAACCAAGGCTGCGGTTCTGGCTGAGCACGAGTCTCGCATCGCCGAGAAGGATGCCGAGCATGATAGGTCAATGGCGGCTTTGCAGAAGGACATTGCTGACTCGCGCGATGAATTGGTCAAGCTCATCGGATCCGTCTCAACTCTGCTCAGCACGGATGTTACTGCCGAGAATATGACTGACCAGATTCAAGATGTTCTGGCCCAGAAACAGCATTTCTCTGAGAAGTACGCGGAGTTGATGGACACTAATGAGGATCTTCGCAAGCAAATTGAAAATGTAAATGTCGAGGAGTTGACAAAGAAGAGCTCCACCCAGGATGCCAAGGTTAACGAGCTGGCTCTCTTGGTCGCAACACTGGAGGACACTCTTCGTCAAAAGGACGAGCAGGTCAAGAAGAAGGAGGCGCTAGTTGATGAGATCACTCTCGAGAAGGAGAAGAGCGTTCGCTTGGTCGAGGAACTCGAGGAGCAGATTACCAACAGCTTTGACCAACACCACAACCGTCTCTCGGTTATTCAGCAAGAGCGCGATCAGGTCCTGGAGGATACCAAGGCTAGAGTCGTTGTTCTTGAGAAGGAAATTGAGACCTACCAAGTGCGAATTGAGCAGCTGGAGCTTCAAATCAAGAACAGCGGATCTCAGGATGGTGCCCACGACCGAAGCAGTTCCCTCACTTCCAATCTTCGGAAGAGCTCATCTGCTGCGTCCCTGCCCTCTCCTCCTCCAGCTATCCCTCTCCCTCCGCTCCCCTCTATTGCCTCTGGCAGTGTCTCCCCACCCGGTTCTCGCCATGCCAGCAGGGAGCTGGTGAATGCCCAGCTCGTTGAGGACCAAGAAACTCGCATCCGGACGATTGAGAAGCACCTCTATGCTGAGAAGCAACTTACCGCTACCCTCGAGGAAGCTCTTGGTGACCTGGAAGCTCAAAGCAGCAAGGTCAAGACCGACTGCGAGGGCTGGAAGAAGAAGGCCTGGGGTCTTGAGGACGAACTGTCCACCCTTCGCAAGGAGCGTAACTCCGCCCGCCTTTCCCTTCAGGCCGTCGAAGAAGAGCGCAGTGCCCGCAAAGAGGCTGAGGCGGCGCGTGCCCAATTGGAAGAACGGATGAACGCCCTCAACAAGAAAAAGAAGAAGAGCACCCTCAACTGCTTCTAAAACCCTTCTTTTCCTTGATCCTCCCTCACTATCTAAAAGCGCGTTTATTACGCCTGTCGCTATCGGTTACGGATGTACACTTGATTGAATTTTCCCCCCTATCTTTGTTTCATACCCCCCTTATTCCCCTTCTTATCTCTCCCGTTATTAACTGATTTACGCCCCATATTACCCCAATCCCCTGTATTATGACATCTTGTTTATTTCACCGTCGATTCGAATCTTCGATACCTCTTTTTCCCTTCTTGCCCTGTGCTATAGTTTTGTTGGATACACATCCTCTTTTTGTTCTTTTTTACATGTTCTTGGTTTCTTGCTCGCGCATGAACCAAACCCCTCTATGATTTGGTAGTTTCTGAACACTTCTGGATACTATCTCCGTTGTACATTTTTCCGTTGGTTGGCTGTCTCTAGATTGGACAACCAATCCAAAACTTTTGCTGCCAGGGTGCCTTTCCCACCTAAACCCATTTTTACTTCTCTTCTTCCCATGTATCTTGTTTTATCCACTCGTTCATATTTTGATTGTGCCTGGAACATAGCTTTTATATTGAGTGCTATCAATTAGATGGCTTCTATCTAAGACAACTTAAAGATAGCGTGCTGCTTGAAAACTGGGCCATCCAATACTAGGAGTAGCATAGTACTGTTTGATTGCGATCTTGATTTCAATATCTGGTTCATTATGTGGCCGCTGGCTCGCTCTATAGTTTCCACTTCCAAGCTTTTCCCGATGAGGCTTCGATTCTTACCCAAAGGGTCGCCATGCTTGCAGCAAAAAGCAAAACTCCCACGGTGATCGTAACTCTCTCGTAGTTCGACGAATCAGATAACGCCGACTGGCTAGACAATAACAGACCCGTCAATGGCGTACCTAGTAGCGCGCCAATACCTCGAATAAGATACAGCGCCCCATTAACCGAAGTAAAATGCTGGACGCCAAAAAGTTCAATCAAGCTAGCAGGAACAGCGAAATATACGCAGCACCGAACGAGCCGTATGATATCGCGAAGATGATAAACAGGACATCGGCGGCCGTATGGGGCACGGTATTATCGACAAAGGTTGAAGGTAACCAGAATGCAAACACGACAACCGAGCTGATAATAGTCGTCAAGAAGAGCACGTTCAAACGACCAAATTTATCAGCTGCGTATCCGATCACAATTCGCGAAACGAAATTAGCCGCGTTGCTGATTGTGATAAAATTATCCGCCATACTACTGCTATAACCCAGAGACTGTGCGAAAGCCGCATAGAAGAACAAAGGCGTGGAGTAACCCGCCGACTGCAGAAAACACCCCAAAGCCTGTGCGACGAATTTCTTCGTTTTGGCCACTTCCCAGTCAATCAGTGGTACCTTGATCCATCCGGTCATCTTCGATAACCCGGCTATCTGGCCAGAAACTTTGTTCTTAAATTTTGGCTCCCAGCCTAGCGTACAGCCAGAAAGAGGTACGAAGAAAATCACTAAGCAGCCGGAGATACGCAATGCATTGCGGAATCCAATGTGTGAGGTAATGGCGCGCAGCACAGGTGGCCAGATCATACCACCACAAGCAGAACCGGAGATAACGATACCCATAGCCAGACCGCGACGCTTGTCAAACCATGTCGGGACAACGGACATGGTGGGGACATATGCCATGCACGTCCCCAGGCCGACGAGGAGGCCCTGCGTCAGGGCAAATTCCCAGACATACTGGCTCAGACTGGCGAGAATGCACCCGAGGCCGAAGACAAGCCCGCCGGACATGATGACGGGCTGGGGGCCGTAAAGTTTCGCCCATGTCATGACGAAGGGGCCGCCCATGGACATGATTGCGATTGATAGGGTGCCGATTAAACTCAGGATTGATGACGAGGTCCCCGCGAAGGGTGAATCGGAGTCTTCTGCCATTTCTTCGTAGATGGCTTGGTACACGCCGTATGAGAAGATGATCGCGCATGTCATGAACATCGTCATGAACCCTGCCGCAACGATGAATACTTGACGGCTGTTTTCATTATTTGCGTTAGTATCGTAGAGAAGGTAGGGGTACTTTTTCTCCGCATACGCTCCCCCAGACGTTGTATCCTGCACAAGTGTGGATTGCAACCTAAAGCTTGGCAGGGTCTGAGTGGAACTTGGAGCAACGATTTCAGCGGTAAAGCTTACAGTTTGGCGGGCTTCTGGGGCGAATCATTTTCAATTTGTGAGGGAGTGGGTTGGGCGACCGGTTCACGATCAGCGATGCGGGCCGCCTCGTTCTTCGTCTCCTCTTCTCCCATGGCTGTGTTCAGGGGACCTAGTCTCCCACATGAGAATCAAGGACGAGGGGAGAAAAGTAAAGAACAAGAAAAGCTTTGTGTTGCCCAGGGCTGTTCCTTTACTCCAAGCGCAGTTGGAGATCTCGGATATCACGGCAATTTCTTTCCCCCTCCCAGTCTCCACAACCAGGCAAGTTAGGTTATCTGATCGAATTTCCCCGGATTGCCACGCGAGCCACACATGCATGAACTACGACGTATACCCCGTGCTATAAATGCAATATATTATTTCGTTTTTATATACTGAATCCACTTCGCTATCGGAATAAACGCAGTTTCTCAATGAACAGGGATTTTTCCTTGTCGTGAAATTTGGAGATTTGGAGAAATCCCGGCATAAGAAATACCCACCGGCAGATCTGCTGATACGCTCATCCGATCCTAGGATATTGGCTTACACAACCTTGCTATGGACTAATCTATCAGTATTCAAGTTCAATTAATAGAAATTAACCTATAGTTTATGGAGATGGGAATAACTTGGGAAGCTGATCAATATGTACTAGTAGGGCTCGGAGCTACTAATTGGTCTATCGAGACAAAGGCAGTATATAGTTCCACGGCTATGTATACCAGCCGTACAGATCTGATGATTTTGGCCAATAGGAGGAGGATTTGGATATCGTGCCCCCATTTCAAGTTTCAAAATCATCGAGTGGTCGGGATTTTAACTTATTGGCTCAGCCCTATGAGCCGTAATTTTCGAGGCCGAGCTGCAGCACACCCTCAGCTAGCTGCAACTGGGGCGGCATGGCTTCCGCCCTTTTTGATCTGCACAGAGGTATAAAATTGGTTACTTGTAAGAAGCACTGACTGCTCACTAGGTCTGCATAGTGCCGAAGTGCTGCACACTGGCAGTCAGAGCTTATCAGCTGCTCAGTAAACAGTCGTGCCTTTTGTAACCATTCAAAGATCGAACCTTGCGGCTCAGCACGTGAGTACCTGTACTTCCCATGTTGACGTCTTCTGAATAGTCATATTCTGTGTAATTATACCAGATTTACTAGGATATGAGGACATGTGAAATCAACGCCTTAAAATAGCTGCTTTTGGGGCCAGAAACGGCCCCCCTCCCGCACTCTTAGTCACCCCCCGACGACCAAGTTGGCGTCCGTTGGATACTTGCTCCTTCCCTGCGATTCTACCTGCTATTAAACGATGACAATGTCTGCTGATTTATTTCAGAAACTGCCACCCGAAGTCATACTTCTGATCGTCAAGGACACAGCAGACTTTGTTGGCCTTGACTCTCTTATGCATGCCTCAAAATGGATCGCTGATTTAATCTTACACCACCTTTTCGATATTACTGAGGAACTATTGGCATCATTTACCATGACTAGAGATGGAACGGAGAGTTTGTTCCTAATTTCTTGCTTGATAAACTCACCAGGACTCAAATTTTCAGATCTTGATGATCTTCAATCCAAATTTACGGAACTTTCCCTTGGGAATTTCAATGAGAAGACGATTTACAGAACTCTTCGACAGGGTGCCCATATCCAGCGTCTCGCTTGTGCATGTATCTCTAAACTTCGTGAAAACCTCGAAATTGGGTTGGAATCTGCCATGGATGCGGAGTGGGAACAAAACTTGTTCCCTGGTTGGCGACAACAGATGACAGCCGAGGCATCTTGGGTGGAAGAATTCCGTGTCTATAGGGCTCTATGGTGCTTACAAATTCTATCTGACATTTACCATGCTTCTGGCTCAGTAGCTTTGCAAGATGGCACTAGGGGTTGGGGATGGACATCGACAGAGAGAGAAAAACTTCCGACGTTCGCGTTTTCCGTGGACGCGAAACCAAATGAGCCCAATTGTGTTGCTGAAGCACTTAAGCATCTCGGAGCTTCTTGCGTTGTCCCATCAGACGACCCTGTTGATGCTTACATCATAGGGTCCGCATCACCACGATACCTTTCTCCCATATTCGAGTCTTTGCAAGTAAAAGGTCTGCAAAATTACCCTATTTGGACCCCACCAACCCCGCCCGGAAGGACGATGTTTGGCCATCCGAACAACCAATCCCTAGAGTCAGTTTGGGGCCGCAGTCCAAGATCTCTCTCCAGATCACCTGGGACGGCAGTATGGTTGAATCGATACCGTACACAGCGTCGTATAGTGCATCACCCCCCGTTGCGCAATGTGAAAACATGTCATCAAATGGGCCTATTTATATGGGATGACTGGAGACTGGTTTCTGTGGGCCTTGGAACCCCGAAAGGTAATAAGTCTAGGTTTCCTTCACCGGATTTCTCCCGGTGGTTTGAACCGGCGCCGCAAGATCCTCCACTTCGACAGTGTCCTTATATGCCCCTTGAGCACAGGTGGACTGCATTAGTGAAGACTCGGGTTTGAAATCGGCAGGAATATTTTTCCATTCGGTTGGAACTCCCCGCGGCTTGACCTTGCGCAAATTTATGTACGATTGATAATGTCATCTGATACCTTTACTGTTTCGGAAGATTCAGGCATAATGTATTAAAATCATGATATTTCAGAGGTCTACTCATATGGTTGTTCGCACCACTGGCATTAATGCCAGTGTATTCTCTGGTTAGCAAGCAGCTTTATCTGGAGCGCGGCAATAATCTCGCCGCACGGTTAACACCTGCCCTGTTCTCTTTTTATATGAGAAGGAAGCTGAATTCAGGGAGGGTGACTGTCCATGATGGGTGAGCGAAGGAGGAGGAAAAGTGCGGGCTGATAAGAACAGATCAAATGATTACCCTAATGGAAAATGCTAAAATGTTAATGAGGCCGTACGTCCTCTGGATTAGAGCAAAGTGGTGAATTTCATTAAGATTGAAGTTAGTAGAAAATAAGTATTGATTGTTTTTCGTGTTTTGCTCAAGCGGGCAGTTCTGTAAATAGCTGATATACCTTAAATCCCAGTGACACGCTATCACAATTCACAGCAGGAGGCCCCTCAGAGTTCAGAGTTCGTAATATAAATTCAAGTTCGATCTGCGAGTTGGGGGGGGAAGAGGGGGTCCAAGATCAAAATCGTGGTTAGACCCTGCACAACTTGACGCCATTTGAAACATTCTGGTTCAAAAGTATTTACCGGTTTCTCTTTCCTAACCAAAATCTAATAGTTTACACTCGATATAGTTATCTCACGCGGCCCCACTTTTCTATATCAGGGTAAGATCTCAGCAGCTACTACATACAGTTGCGTTGCAAAAGTTTGAAACCCCATGTTGACTGTTCTTGTCTCCGCCTTCTAATCGGGGACTAGATGCTTAGCTACTAGTTTACCATTAGTAGGCGGTAAATCATGGTGGGCAATATGGGGTTTCAAACTTTTGCTGTATAGATATGCCCGACAGCAGCTCCTTGATGAGTAAGCAGATCTGATGACGTCTCCCTCCAACGTGGCTTGATTGCAGCTTCGCAGCTCACCACGTCAGAAGTCTCCAAACACCACAGCCATGTCGGGTCTCGCGCCCTCTAATGTGGTGATCATTCACCCTGATCTAGGTATTGGTGGTGCAGAGCGATTGATCATCGACGTCGCGTTGGCCCTGCAAAATCGCGGTCACCGCGTGACAATCTATACCTCGCATTGCGACAAAAGCCATTGTTTTGAGGAAGCGCGCGATGGTACACTCGATGTACGCGTGCGCGGAAACACCATCTTCCCAGCACACGTATTTGGTCGCCTACACATCCTCATGGCTTCGTTGCGCCAGCTTCACCTCACCGCGTCACTCCTCTCCGAACTGGGGTCCAGAGACCAACCGAGCAGTTCAACGACAAAGAATGACCCCACTACCGACAACAACCATATTCAGGATGACATTTTCATAGTCGATCAGCTGCCCGCATGCGTTCCCATCTTGAAAACCTTCAGCCAACCTCGCAAATCCCGCACCCAGCGTATCCTCTTCTACTGCCATTTCCCCGACCAATTACTTGCGCGGCGCAATGAAGGTGGGTCGCTTCTTCGACTGGCGAAGGTTCTGTACAGATATCCCTTTGACTGGTTTGAGGGATGGGCACTCAGCGCGTCAGATCGGGTCGTTGCGAACTCCAATTTCTCACGGGGCGTTGTGCGGGATGTTTTTGGGCCCGACCTATTGGGAGATGTGGAAGTTGTCTATCCCTGTGTCGATACAGATGCGAAGATTACACCCGAGAAGACGGAAAGTGGCCCGCTTTGGGGCGGCAAGAAGATTCTGCTGAGCATTAATCGCTTCGAGCGCAAGAAGGACATGGCTTTGGCAGTTCGTGCCTATCACGGACTAGGCGCAGAGAAGCGAAAGGGGACGCGATTGGTAGTTGCTGGTGAGTTCAATTACCCCTTCACACCTGTCTTCCTTCACGTAAGCTTTCTAAACAACAATACCAGGCGGCTACGACAATCGTGTCCAGGAAAACGTTCAGTACCACCAGGAACTTGATGACCTTGCCACTGGCTTGGGATTACAAACCGCGACATCGAAGACTGTTGTCTCTGCCCTGTCTATTCCTGACGAAATCGATGTCCTCTTCCTTCTTTCCGTTCCCACTACTTTCAAAGATACCCTCCTCGCACAATCCAAACTCCTTCTCTACACCCCGATTAACGAACATTTTGGTATTGTTCCTGTTGAAGCGATGCATGCCGGGCTTCCTGTACTGGCATCGAACACTGGTGGGCCATTG